GGGTTTAGAGTTTAAGGGTTCAGGGTTTAGCTAAGGTTTAAGGGTTCAGGGTTTAGGGTTTAAGGGTTCAGAGTTTCAGGGTTCAGGGTTTAGGGTTCAAGGGTTTAGGGTTTGAGGGTTTAGGGCCTCAGGGTTTAGGGGTTTTGGGTTGTGGGCTTATGCGTTTAGGGCTTAAGGGTGGTTGAGGGCTAAAGGCTGGTTTAGGGCTTCAGGGTTTAGGGCTTTAGGGTTTAGGGTTTTCCTGAAAGATCGGCATCTGTTTCCACGATGCCATTACTTGTAGAATACTTCTACCGGCCCCAGATGTTCTTATGTCGATACACCGTGATTCATACTTAGTAGGTGAGGGTTAAACTTCTCTGCGTATATGTAGCCCTCCCACGACTTCAAGGCTCAGGCCTTAATTCAGCCAACATCCTAAAGGCCATAGAAACCCTAAGCTCTCACACCCTAAACCCTTCCAAACCCTAACCCAAAAACCCCTGAAATCTTGATACCTCCAGTGAGGTGCCGCCTGCTCGGCTTTTCAAGCGCCCTCCCGTGAGGCTGATCCATGCGCCTCGGCGATAATTGTGCAAGGAGCTATCAGGCTCTATGACAGTACAGAGGCCCCTTTAAAGTGCCTATAAGTCCCTGTATTGCAACAAACCCTGGAGCCGCACTCATTGAGGCCCCTATTTTAGGGCTAGGGCTTGCCGTCGGGGTGGATGTGCCCGCCAATGATTCCCTGAAGTCAGCAGAGACGACTCCAGCATACTCCAGCTATGGTATATGTACGTACTTTATGTGTTTTGCAACCGTGAACGCTTGCTTGTCCTTGTCCTCTGTGTGTTTCCACAAGTACAGAAGCAACCTACGAAATGCATAACGATGTGTGTGTGTGTGTGGGTGTGTGTGGGTGTGTGCGCGTGCATATATATATATATATACATACATAACTCTGTGTATATATATATATATATAATATACATATACTAAATAGAGATATGTATACATATGTATATATATATATATACACGCACATGTATACACACGCACGAGGAGAGACCGCCACGGAGAAAGCGACAGAGGGACACCCGCGCGCACACACACACACACACACACACACACACGCACACACACGCAAACACACACACACACACACAGCACAAACCCGTGTGCGGGGACAAGACCTGAAATTCGTTAGTGGCGTAATGTGGACTGATTAATGTGTGGTCCGAATTAGTGTGGGGGGGTCCCCCCCCGTACCCCCGACCAAAAGTGTGGTCCGGAATAGTGTGGGACCGGGGGTGCTTCTGCTGGGGTGGGGGTTTTATTTCAGGGAGGGGTCGAGGGTTTGGGGTTAAGGGGCTGAGATCAATTATACTCAAAGGGTGATTTAAGGTTTAGGCCCAAGTAGGTGGGGCAGGGTTTTAGGGTTTGGGTGGGGGTTTATAGATTGACCATTAGCACACAGGAGCAACCCTCCCCAAAAAA